CTTTCAATCTAATTTCTGCCTAATTCTGGAGTGAAGTCATAAACACATTTGTGGCATCAGTCTGTTACCATGGAAAAGAATATCCTATAACAAATTTCAGTACTACAATTGTACCATAGCATCAAATAGGAAATAAAATTTAAATACTAAGGCTAAGTATAGACAGTCAACAAGCCCAAGGCTGAATCGATTCAGTCTTTGCAGGTTAGTTGAAGCTGCAAAGATTAAGTTGAGGAACAACTGGACATGCATTTACCTTTGATTTAGGAAATGCAGCCACGTGTCTGTAGTGGCTCAGGCCAGAAGCTGGAGGTGCTAGAGCACAGCTCTCTGTCACTTCCTCTTCCTGCTGCCCCCAAGGTCTCTCTGGGATTTGCAGTCCAGCATCACAGAAGCAGGACTCTGCAGGGTTGCTCATCACTTCCTCTTCCTGCTTCCAGTTGACTCTCAGATTTGTAGTCCACAGTCGCAGCCAGCAGTAGCTTTCAGTAAGTTTACCAGGGCAGCTCAGTACTCGGAGGAAATGGGGTTTAACCGGGAGAAGTGAGGTTTAACTCCCCTCCCCGGCCCCAGACCTCAGCCAGGATTTGCCTCGGTGGGCAGTCCCTGCCTCTTTCCCCCACCCCTAACCCTTCTCTGCTGCTGCAGACACTACAGCACAGCTCAGCCCAGCCCAGCCCAGGGCTCCAGAGAACATGCTGGGATGCTGGGGGACTGTGATTAACTTGAACCAGGAAGGGGTCTGAGACAGAAGCTTCATAAACCGGTTTGACCCAAATCACTTAAGTCTGATACTACATTCAACCAGGTATATCTTAAACCAGTTTCAGCCATTTTTAAACTGGTTTATATGCACTAAGCTTCTGTTCTGGTACAGGTTTAATCCAGTTTCTGATTATTTAAACCGGTTTATGTGTAACTTCTGTCCCTAGCCAAAAAGACTTTCCACACTGTGACTGGGGTATGGCTCACCCAAAACCACTATGGAATACATCAATTTCACAAATTTGTATAATCAACTAAAAACATACATTATCAACTTCTCTGGTCTTTAAAATGTATTAAGCATGTCATAAAAAATATTGCTTCAAAAGCACCTCTCCTACAAAATGTGGAGAAAGTCAGTGAAGCTCTATACCATTTATAAAGGTCAACTAATTGGGGCTTTAGTGTCCCAAATATGGGAAGCGAGTTACATGAACTGTAAAACATAGCACAAGAGCATATTAGGTCCACAAGTCTTGATCGTGCATGATAATTTGTTTTGACTGTCAGGTAAGTTTCTTGTAGTTGTGGGGTTTTTTTTTTACATTGTATCATTCATAAACCATACAAATATAGATTGTAATAATACTATGAAATTGTTTGCAGTGCTCTTAGTGTTATATATGAATGGAAAACCTTTATTGTTTTACACAGGATTAAACTAGAGTTAATCATTTAAAATTAGTGAATTGTCTTCCTGTAACCAGCTCAGATTATTTCTGAAGGCCTTTATCATTATCATGAACACTAATAACTAACCCATGTTAAGTTACATAAAAGATCCTTTCCCTCCAAATAACAAAACCCTCTCCATCTGAGTTGACCTATAAATGCTTCCTTTTAGTTTGAAAGACTTGTTTGGCAAAGTTTGGAAGGGGAAGGAGGGTTCTTTCCATAGAAACATTTAATTAATTTATTTTTAGCTTTTTCATTTCTCTCTTACTGTTTCAAAGCTTGGGCTTTGTCCTAAGAAGTGTGTGAGTATTGATTTACAAGTTAAATTTTGACTTACAGGGTCACATAGAATTGTTCACATAGAAAGCACAGTGTGTAGTTTATGTAGATATATGAAACTGAATTGATATTACCTCTGCTGGCTCTCCAAACCTATCTTCTGTCTCCAAGGGGTTGCATACAGCAAGGCTCTCAAGGCATCTTTGACTCCAGTATTTCTGCAACTTTGTTATTCATCGGTCATGTCTCCCAAAATTACCTTATTCCTATACTTTCACTCATAACATTGAATCATAACCCCTACCACTTTGTTTTATGCTTACCTGGAACACAGCTCCACAAAATACATAAGATACCACAAGAAGATAAGAGTTTGGGTCATGATTTTTATGATTTAAATTCATAGTGGGTGCCTCTACACATGTGCTTTACTGTAGAGTTGAAAAATTAGCTTTGCATTAAAGTGTCATAGTTTACATATACAAAAAACTAGAACTCTTGGTTCCAAAATGATCTCTTTTATTAGACCAATTGGGAAATCACAAGAAAATTCTCCTTTTTATGTAAGCTTTCGGGATCAAAGTCCCTTCATCAGGCTCTGGGAAAAGTATAGATGTCACAAGATGATAAAAAGTCCCCATAGGTAGGAAATAAACTTCATTTTTGCACACAGGGACTTTGACAAAAGGACTTTGATCCCAAAAGCTTGCAGAAAAGGACAGTTTCCTTGTGATTTCCCACTTGGTCTAATAAAAGAGATCATTTTGGAACCAAGAGTTCTAGTTTTCTGTATGTCTTTGTCTCAGACCAACACAGCTACCAAGTACATCCCTGAAACATAGTTTACATGTGCACTGGTATTAGGGTGCAGGAAATTAACTCTGCCATAGGACAGTACTATCCTATGGCAGAGTAATTTACTTTGGTGAAACGTGTAGATGGTGATGGGCTGACCTGGTGCAGGAGAGTGATTAAACTGCGGGGGTTACCTTCCACCTAGCCCTGCGCTTTAGCACCCTCGTGCTGCAGCCAGCCCTCTGCCATCTGATGTTGCCCCCCAGAGCCTGGGGATGACCCCTCCATGCCCTGTCCAACTTGGGACTGCTCTGCCCTGTCTCAAAGTGCTGTGGTCCTAGGCACATGTGCAGAAGCTGTGCCCACAAGCAATTTTCTCCAGCTTGAAGTGCACTGGAGTTTATCACATTATATTAATTGCACGTGTAGATGCACCCAGTTAGTAGCAGCCTAGGAGTCTGTGGCAATCTTTGAAATTTTCTCTGGTGATGAGGAGCTGATGGATCTGTTAAAGTCTCTAGGTGAGAACCTCTATTTCTCTATACCCTAAAGATGAGCGTACCCTGCATTTTTCTCACATAGCTTTGCAAAGGCTTCTAGGTAGGCAGTTCTTTTAGGAACACAAATCAGTGATCCACAGATGGAACAACCTGCCAGAGAGTGCTTTGACTTATTCTTACCAATCAGTGGCATGTTTATATCTCTAGTTTATTATGTTAAGTTCTCCTGTAAGGTTATTGGAATGACCTTATTTACATACATTTCTAAACTTATTCCAAAGCTTTTGTCTCAATAATATCTTATGACAGTGAATTCATTGGGTTAATACAATATTAACCCAATGAATTCCCAGCATTTAAAAAAGAAACATTGTCTTTAATCAGTTTTAAATCCATTGCTCTTTTAGTTTCATAAGCTGACTCTTGGTTCACATGTTAGGATAAATAAGAGGATTTGATTTCGTTTCTTCACTATTTTGTATACCAATATAATACCTCATGATTTTTCTCTCTAAATTAGATAGTGTCAACCTTTTTTCAATACCTTTTCTGGTCATTACTTTCACTGTCAATCTCTTGATGTATCTGTGCTTCCTATTAAAAGTTGATCCATGTGTGGGAAAGCATATGGAGAAAAATGTTTTATATTCATACATTTATGTTATACACTTTAACTATGAAGTTATCTGGATTATAGATCCTATAATGATTTTATTGTCCAAAATCTCTTCTTTGGTAGGTGATAAACCTTTTGTAATAGACCTTTTGCTCCTGGTTATGTGTCCTTCATATAGCTACATGTCCAACTCTAGGAGACCGTCTTTGCACATTCATTGTGAAAAGGTATTTTTGAAGGTTATTAACCATATACAATGGCCTTTAGGCAATCAACCCAACTTTCCGGTTTTGTTTTAAGATATGCGGCATTATAGTAGTAGTTCTTTCTGTATCTTATTTAACTGTGAAACAGTTAACTCAGAATCAGAGGAACGGTATGAAGTCTTTGACATTCTAATGCAAATTGGCTATTATTATTAGTCTCAAGATTCTTCCATGTCCAATATGCACAACTGTGAAATGTTCTGCTTATCTCCTAGTAGGACCTTAAGACTTTAGGTCTGATATTTCTGCAAGATAGTATTTTCAGAGCAGTGATTTGTAGGTCTGTGTTAACCTCTTATCAGTACTTTTTAATGGTGTGATAAACAAGCACCTTTCCTGGCCTAAATTACTGGCTTTTGTCATGTGTGCTTGGGCTAATAAGCAAAAAAAAGTTACTTTCAGTCTAACTGCTGTGAGGCCAAAGTGATGTTAAGTCTGTTCAGTAATATTCTCTTTCTGAAAACTGTATTGCATTTTGCAAATAAGTTTACACATCTAAATAGTAGAATTGGATAATTTGAAGATGTGATACCATACACTGTGTCCTAATAACAGATCCTGAGGAAATGCTGCATATGACACATTTAAATGCTTTGTTCCTACCTATCTAATCTAGATCTAATTAACTATATATAGCATGCCTTTGTAAGTAGCATGTTGTTAGAGGCTGATAATTATTTTTGATACAATAATTGCATGAAACAGAAGTTTTCATGTATTTTAAGTAACATCTTTTTAGAAAATTAAATTCTAAAATAAAAATATCTCAAAAAAATTTCAGCCTATATATCAGCTACTTTACAGGGTAATTTTTCTGTGGTATTCCTGAATCCGTTCCAGAGAATTTACTTTTCTGCCTTTAGATGGAGAAGGGAAGACTTTGTTTATTGGCATTACAAACTGCACTGATAAACATAAAATCTGTATGTGCAATATGTATGAGGTTGTCTGTTTAAGTACAAATAGGAAATAAATGCTAATTCAAAATATTTATATTTGTAATAGAAATATTTCACGCTTCTTTACTTTAGAGCTGTCTGTATGCATCAACTCTTAAAAATCCATTAATTATTATTTTTGTTCATTTGTCTTTCCATCCTGTAGGCACGCCGAAAGGAGGTTTTTATTCAGGAACGATATGGGAGGTTTAATCTCAGTGACCCATTTCTGGCCCTGCAGAGAGATTTTGAGGCAGGTGCTGGCGATAAAGAAAAGAAACCCATCTGTACCAACCCCCTCTCCATTTTAGAAGCTGTCATGGCTCACTGCAGAAAAATGCGAGAGAGAATGTCAGCTCAGTTGGCTGCTGCTGAAAACAGACAAAAGAAGGTATCATAGCTACTGCTTGTAGTCACTCACTCAATTTGTTTATCCATTTACTTTCTTATTGTGATCTTTATCTAATTTATTTGTCATCACAAATATAAAGATCAGATCAGCCTATGTTTGGCGCACACACCAAGATGCTGATTGCTGATGATATGTTATGTTCAGACTGGTCATGTTCCATGAATTAAGCACTACTTATACATGAAATAAGATTAACTCTAATGAGCCCTTGTATGCAGGCACTTCCAACTCTTGGGTTAAGAGCAAACATTTGCTCATCAGATATTTTTCAGCTCTGTTTTAGCCTAAGGCGGCTGCCTTTATACACATTTTTGCTTTACTAAATATTTTAAAGCACAAAAATCTCTTAGTCATATATGACATGAGGTTGGAATAAGCCATAAACAAAATGTCGCTATCTGAAAATTGATAATTTTTTCAATTCTAAGTTTAAAATACTGAATCTTTAAAATATTACCAATAAAGAGAGACCTATTTGAATCAACATTATGAAAAAGGATTATTGTCATACCAAAAACAGAGTTTTGTAAAGCATTTTAAATTAATTTCAAGTTTATTTTTCTTTCAACTGGATTTCATAAATTTGTTTTTGGGTCCTTCCTTAAGTTTCTTTTTTTATGAAAATGACAGATAACAAATCTAGAAGATCTTTTTATTAAATCATTGCATGAGTAATACTTGCTTTTGAAAAGTTGTAGATTAGCCTTAGCACTTGAAGTAAAAATAATCTAGAGTTCAAATACTCTTTGTGCAAAACTTTGAAAGAGTGCAGTCAGGTGTATGTTAGAAACTGTTGGAGATGTCAGTTAGGGATGGAAAGTGTGTTTCATTTTGTTTTGAGTTTGACTTGTACTGGCAACAAGCCTAGTATGGAGACCAGTTATGTTGACATAAATGTATAGTTTTATTTTAAGTAATCATAAGCTATACCACTGAAAGCACTGGGTCTGCATTATGTTTGTTAGTATGTCCATGTCAGTATAGCTATTCCAGCAAATTTCTCTAGTATAGGCATGGGAATACTCTACTTTCTGCTTTTCTGTTTGGTTCTGAAAATTCCTTCTGTACTGGAGTGGTAAACAGCCCAAACGTGTTATCCAGACAAGTGCTTAATTCTAGATAATACATACTTATAATAGGCCTTAACATGTGCAGTAGCACCTTTTACTTAATGCTAGCAACATTTCCAGTCTAGGGTGACATTTGTTGGACTGATTTGTTTTCCATGCATCTTATTTGTCCAAATAGAAGATGACCCTGAATTTAAGATGACCCCCCAGTAATTAGATTCTATACACAGAAAATTTATAAATGCATTATATGTTCCACGTAGAGAATCTAATTGTTGGAGGATTTAAATTCATCCCCCTGCCACTACTATAGACAAGGGGAGGCAGTAATGGGTCAAGCAGTGGGGGGGAAGACTGGGAGTGTAGTAGAGGGCATGTGCTAGGGTGGGCAGTGCAGGAGGAAGTAGGGGACAGGCAAGGTGGAGGCAGTGGGATAGGCAGGCAGCTTGCTCCCTGCCACCTGTCTTTCCTACTTACTCCCACTTATGCCTGTGCCCCACAGCCTCAGGCCCCTATTCCCCCTTCCCCCCATCATCTTCCTCTTCCCCCTTCCACGCAGCTTCTGCATCTCCATCCCCTCTTCTCCCTGTCTCCTGAAGTTTCTCTCCCCTGACTGCCGTACCTTTACTCCAGCAGTCTCTCTCCCTGCTGAAGCCTGGGGGCACTGAACATAGCTCCAGCCTGACCCCATAGTAGAAGTACAGAGCCAACACCACGGCTACAGGGCTGGGCTGGAGCCATGCTCTGTGCTCCAGGCTGCAGCAAGGACAGCCTGCTGGCACAGAGCAAAGGTAAGAGGGAATGCAGTGGGGATGGGGAAAGGGGAGAGATGGGGAGAAGTGGAATGGGTGGGAGAGACAGTGGGGGCTTGAGGCTGCAGGTGAGGAGTGGGAGGTGGGGTGCAGAACTAGCACGGGGCAGGCAGGACCTGTGACTCCAGCCCCAACCCGAGGTTGGGACCGGAGCCACAGCAGCTGCCTGCCCTCCCCCACATTGTATTTGATTGTAAGATAAGGGGCTTCCCCTCCCCTTATGTTAACTCTGGGGGAGTTGGGAGGGGGTGGGGAACAGACCTCACTTTTTAATCAAGTCAATATGATATTCTCCAAGCCAAAGATACATTTTGTTTTCAGAAAGCTTCAGCTAGGAGTTTGGCTATTTTTAATATGAAATATGTGGAAAAATTACCATTATAAATATAATTTTGCCATCTTTTGAACTGCTTGAGCTACCCAAGTGTTTTGGGATAGAAAGCTAAAACTCAAGAGACATGATTTCCATAGTGCAGATGGAGTTTCTTGTCACCTTTCATACTTACTGGAGAACAGTGGAGATCTGTCTGATGAAGATAATCAGACTGTTCTAATTAAAATGAAAACTGTTTTCCCATAGTACTGGTATGTAGTGGTGGATATTTTGACTTCTTTAAATTACCTATCGGGATGACTTCTATTTAAAAGGTCATGAAGAAGGATTTATTTAACATTTAAATAACCATCCATTAGAACTTTGTTAAAATATGATCCCTTCTAGACGTTTTGGACTCTATACTATTTAATTAAATCCTGCTGTCTGAATAGTGGGTCTTTTTCTAAGTCATTGAGGTCTGTGCCACATAACCAAGATGTAATACAGTATTTTGTGGTGCAGTGTCATCTAAAACATGTATATAATTCACAAAATTTCTACTGGAGGTTTGGTAAAATACATTTGAAAAAAAATCTTCTCTCCAAATCCCTCCATCTCAAAAGATTTGAGCCGTTTTGCAGACCAGACTCCTTTTTAACTGTTACCACCATATGGTTGACTATTTTGGTTTATTGCATCCAGTGGGACTATTCATATAACAATTCACCAGTGTCAGTGAGCAGTCTGTATGTGTCCTGAAGTAATTAAACATGCATTTCAAAGTGTTTGTAATTTCAGGTATAGCTTTAGAATTCTCACATATTGTAAAATAATAAAATATTTTACTGTAGGCATTTCAGTTTGGAAGTAAAGGATATAGTATTTTTACTTTTCAGAAGGAAATGTAAGTGTTTTAATAAATCATAATTTTAGGAAAAAATACTTCAATCTTAATTTATCTGACAGTTTGACTTAGAGGTGTCTGAATTGTATGAAGCTCCTTTTTAAATAGGCATTTAACTTATACACTGAAATTTAATAAAATGTGGCTTTCCTAATGTGTATATAAAGTACTACCCTGGAAATCGTCAGTGTAGTCCCTGTTTTTATTTAGTGTTAAGAAAGAAGAATGTTTAGATGAAGAGTGTTTGAAAACCAACTTGCTGAAGTTAAACAGGAAATTTTCCTGGGTCAGTGCCATCACTTTCTGGAGAACCTATCCTTTCATATATACTTTGCAAAAAGTCATCAGTTAAATGGTAAAACTACAGCCTAGACAGAGCAGTTTCTCAGGCCTTCTAAGCTCATGGCAATATGTGGCAATGCTTAAGAAATACTCTCTTCTCAACGCTCCATTACCCAAAAAATGTCCATCAGCCATGTGTTTCCCCTCACAATCAGTTCCTTCTCAATCTTTCAAATCCATCTGTGGGAGAGTTAATGAAATTATTTTGGGATACACCATTGACTTGATTAACTAATCATTAGGTACATATTCCTCTTCCCCCTCAGTTTCCTTTTATAAGCAGGTAGAACCAATTGTTGGCACTGGGATTATGACCTTATTCCAGGCAGACCCAAGCTCTCAGACCTGCCACAACTTCTTCCATTCAATAATAAGCAAATTTTATCGATAGACAGTGATAGCAGATAAGAGTAATGCAGGCAAGGTAAGCAAAATTCTGCTTTTCCCCTCTTCTTTCCCCCTTCTGAATTTATATCTGCCATTCCTAAGGCTGTTGCAGAGGGAAGGATACATCTGGCCAATATGCAAGCTTCACCCTGTGGTTCATCCTTGAATGTCAGATGCCTGGAGGTCAAGGTCCATGGCCCAACTCCAACCCTAACCCCGAGTGGGGTGGGTGAGACAGGCGTGGTGGTGTGCCCTCTGTTCATGGTGGCCTCAGAATCTGCCCCGTCAGGGACATTTTGGTACTCTGAAAATCCCTCCTTCTATATCTTTTCCCTCTTCTGATGACTCTTCATTTCCAGATACCATTGATTTGGTGTCCCTATGGTAGTCATACTATCCACATTCTGTCAGCATATTTCTTTGTTTCAACAAACCCATCATATGTACACATCTTAATTTGGTCATTTACTGGTGTCTTAATTTGGTTGTGCTTCAGCCTCCTAATTTGGTCCATCCACTAAAACTGGAAATCTCCAGGGGCTCTGCAGCTGGTCACTGTGACCTGGCCAATGTGGCAAGCCTATTTTGTGTTATGGATTTTCAGGGAACCGTGTGCAAATTCCCAGTCTGTTTATGCCCACTTGTACATTGGCCTCAGAAAAGGTGTCTGCCTTGAAGGAAACTTTGTCACAAACAGGCTTTTAGAAACCAGTTAGCCCCTGCCATTCCCCTGGACCATTGTTCTGATGCATGTCTACTTCACCTATAAGCCAATTCCTAAAAGCAAATCTCTAAATATCAGGTTTTTTAGCCATCATCTACTCCTTTGTTTTTTTGAGCTGATATTTTCACAGGGAACAGGATTGGGGAGTGGCCTTTTGCTTCCAGTGAAACTGCAAATTGTCCTGTATGGGAACCGAAGACCAACTCTATTAACAAGGAGGGTATCCCTCCACTTATTCATATTCTTCCCTTTAAGTTGAAAGAGATGATACAATTTTTCACAATATGTAAAAATATATTTTTGCAATAAAGAAATGGAAGATGTTTATCTTTGGCTTTTAAAGAGTTGGAGACCCTTTAGCCAAAACAATCTTTTAGAAGCAAATAATTTTGAAATGTGGTTGAGAGCATTCTTTTGCTAACAC